GTGGTCTTCATTATAATGATCTGGGAGAAATGGAAGACTGGCTTTGTTAGAAGAATAAAAGACCAAACCAGGCCTCTTGCAATGTCTGGGAAGTTGTTCAAATCCAGGGAAATTAAATGTTAACATATTCTTCAAGCACTCGAGGAGGATTGGATATAATAGAAGAAACAACATTGAAATGTGGTTTGAAAGGTACTTTTCAGAGAAATATGAATGCTTTTTAAAATAACTCTGGTTTTTAAGATTTTAAAACTTTTTTTCTTTGCTGTTTTTTGTTTTCTTTGATTTTTAAGGTATTTTGATGATTTCCACAGGTTTCATTTAATAAAAATTGAGTGGTATCCTGAGAGTTATTATCTGTTAAGTGACTAATAAATATTTGAAATAAGAAATAAATCAATTTGCAGAGGACTTATGAAGTTGCTTTTTGTAACAAATGGAGAAAACTTGCCTCGTTTTCAAATTCTTGGCTGTTTAAATGTCAATTTGAAGCCTTTAAGAGACTGAAATTGCATCCATTCAAAAGTCATTGGCAAACTTGGAAGAAAAAAAGAGTTATTAAGGGTTTTCTTAGCACCCAGATAGAATGGAATCAGGTTTGAATCTCTACATTTAATTTACTGCACTACTGCTTCCTTTTTGCTTGCAACATGCAGCAGGTATATTTAGTTCATCCCTCTTTTCCTAACTACCTCTTTTCCTTGGGCACAAAGGTTCTCATTGTTTTTTATAATTCCCAGTGGCTGCTTTAATCACATATGTTTTTCACTGAATAAACTTTGTTATCTATATCTGGGTCATTCATTTTCATGAGCACATACCAAAACAGCTAATTTTATTCTAGCATAGTCAGCCTACCATGTAAAACTCCTCAGGAAGTTTGCAAATATACCTAGAAGAGAAATCTGGCTGTTGAAAGGAAAATACTATAGAAACAAACCAACTTGGCACTTCTGCTTTCCTTTTAAGGATACATTAGGTGGTACCTATAGGGATTGTTCTGTTTTAGTGGTTTGGTTCAGGGGTCCCCAACTGGTGGACTGTGGCCTATTGAGCACCGGGCTGCGTGAGTGGCTGGCTGCTGCACACGTGTGTGCATGCACGCACAACCCCACTCGTGCATTGCCACGAGCGTTGTGGGCATTCACTGCCCCACTTGCACGAGTGTTCACGCCCCCACTTGCACGAGCATCGCAAGTGTTCATGGCCGCGCTTGTGTGGGCAACGGGTATTCATGCACACACATGCGTTCATCCTCTCACAAAACCATCCCTTCTTTCTCCCCTTCCCCCCACTCCGGGCTGCCAACCCCAAAAGGTTGGGAAACTCTGGTTTAGTTGATCAAATGCATTTCAGTCACTCTATAAGAAGATGAAGGAGGATCCTTTGTCTAGATCACTGTTAATGAGACAAAGCTTACAACATGCCTCAGTTATGTAATGCAGGAGATGGACTTTATGCGCTAAATATCCAAATTAGTTCAAGAAAGAGCATGTACCATGTCTAATCACAACTAGAACATTTAAAAATAGTAAAACTTTTATTTGATTATGAGATATTGCTAGGATGATTTATCTATTATTCCTATATTCTGTACCAACAAATAAAATATTTACTTTATAAAAATAACAAATTTATTTTAAAATACACCCAGTGAAACAGTGATGCTGACTGGTGATCCAGCAAACTCAGTCAAAATGAAAATTGCCAATGTTGTACTGTAATAATACTCTTTATGTTTACACACATTTTCTAAAAACCTGCTAAAAACATGGGACTGTTCATAGTCCACTTCAGCGGTAAAAGTAAATGCATTCATATTACAAAAAAACCAGTTGTCCCTAACCAAAGTGTAAGAAGCTGGAAAATATACATATATATGCCAAGACTAGAATTCAATATGCTGTTTGTGATTCTTCCATCTGCAGTACTGCAAATAGTGCTTAAATGAAAATTCTAGCTTGTGCAGTGCTGCTGTTCACTGGGAAATTCTGTTAAGCATCAGTTATTGTTATTCTGTTAAGCTCTGCAAATAAAACAGCTGGAATCACAATCAAGCAGGACTAATGGGTAGCTGCAGGAAAGTAAGAGTGCTCTCCAGGAAGGCAATTCTTAAAAACGGTAGGTGAATGCCAAGCCTACACACAGTAGAAAAAATAGACTAGAAGGAGGAAGAACAGTTTTGGGAGAAGCAGAGGGGACTGAGATCAGATTGATAGGATAGGAAAAGAAAAACAAGCAGCAGGAAATTTAATTGCTAAAAAGATTCCTTTTTCAAAGTTTAAGAGGTCCTTGTGAAATTGGAACAACATAATTTTGCACAACAATCATTTTTTTCAGCAGGCATAAATTACTTGGCAGAGTATCTTGAACTGTGGGATGATTCCTGGCTATTCACCTTCATTGCCTGGTAACACACAAGAGGTCATCTTCTTTCATAGAGTTGCCTGTGTAACTGGCAAAGTAGGAACCTGTGGGGGGTGGGGGGGTTTAGGCAGACATTAGCTATCCTTCCGAAAAGGGAGTTTCCTTTTATCCTTAGCAGCATTCCTTTTCCTCTTCTTGTTCAGGAAACTCTCCAGCTTCCCACTTTTCTTCAGTTGTTTGTATTTCTCAGCAAGTTCCATTTTCTGCATTTCAGCTGTAGATGTCAAGAAGGAAGTCTTAATTCGTAAGTGTTCATAATAACCCAAAACAATTATTTTCTATAACCTAAGCTTGATTTCCCCTTCACTGTTTTTGCCTGCCAACATAATCTTTCAACTTGGTCCTATATAAATCATGTGATGCAGATATTAGTAACTAATTGCTATGAAAATAGCATAGAAACACTTAAATTTAAGTACTGGCAGTGGCTATCCTAAACCACTCCTCATTCAAAAATTTTGAGAATAATTTAGTAATTTAGAGAATGATTCAATAATTTAGAGAAAGTAAATGCTACCGGTGCAGGCGTGTTGGATGCCACGCTCATACGCTGTTTGCAGCAGAAACAGTGCTACCATCCATCCGGCCTTTTTAACAGATGACATCAAGGGCTCCACTGACTTGGTGATGAT